AACAACAAAGCAAATATATGCATGGCAAAAACAAGTCCTCCAAATGTATTCGAAGCATATCGAAAGCAATTTTATTTAGACTTCCGAAAGTTTTTAAAACTACGATCTGAGGAAATTGTATGCGGTGGGCGCATGGTTTTAACATTTCTTGGTCGGAGTAATGCTGATCCGACTAGCGATGATGGTTGTCGACACATGGAACTACTTGCGCAATCACTTGTCGATATGCTGAAAGAGGTTTATGGTTTTTCTATTTTCATATTTTCCCCATTACTACAAATTTGGATTTATAAGATGCCACTGATTTCTAAGCATCTTAATAGAATGTTGTATATGGACTTAATTTACAGGACCAAAATATAAAGCGTCTTATCTTCTAAAGGCGTCTTAATAAGTTAATACGACACTTTTGTGCAAGTTTTTTAGGACACTTTTAAGTCAAAGCGTCGCATTAGCAATTTTATAAGATGCTTTTGAGAAAGCGTCCTATAAACTCATCATTTTATACGACACTTGTTTTTATATGATAATTTTCCAAACAGTGTCCTATAAAATTGCTAATGGAACGTTTTTGTATTAAAAGTGTACTAAAAAACTTGTTAAAACGTCCAAAAGCATCCTATAAACTTATTGCAACGCTTTTAGATATGATGTTTTATTTGTTGGTTCTATTAATTAAGTCCTATAAAACCTTTTTGGCGTCCTATAAACTCAATTTGCTTCAGCAACTAACCATTTACAGTTAAAAAAACACTACAGGGGCTAGTTCGAGAATCATATATCAACTCATTCAATCTTCCGTTTTATACACCATGTGAAGATGAAGTTAGGGATGTTATTCACAAAGAAGGATCGTTTTCTCTTGATAGCTTGGATGTTTTTCAAGGAAATTGGGATCCATATGACACCGATTACACAAATGTAAATGATTTTAAGGAGGACAGCCACAGACACGGGAAAAACGCAGCACAAGTTTTGAGAGCTGTTACAGAGCCGTTGTTGACGTCTCATTTCGGAAATTCCGTAATCGATGCGGTGTTTAAGAAACTTGAAAAGCATGTTGCCGAACATCTAGCTAATAAGAAAACAAGATACTTTAATATAGTCATTTCATTGATCAATAAATGAACAATTCATGTTTCATATTACTGTTTCAATTGTTTCAATAAATATTAATAATTCATATAAAATAATTTTTTGAGTACTTTTTAGATGCAAAATCAATCAATGGTTATTTATAAATCAGTATTATCTACCGTATCATTTTTACAGTGGTCCATCCGTTCCACTGTAAAAACATACGTATATGATATACGTTTGATATAGTCATATAGATTGATATGATTTGGACGCAATATTGTTGACCATTTGGAGTCACAATACCATATGTAAATCAATATAAATCAGTTGAGTTTTCATGTCACATTATGATGATTGTTAAGTTTTTCGTCACCATTTTAAACTTTAGGATTAAAACAAACTTTTTTGGGAACCATCAATTAATCTTAGAATCAAGGACCATATTGGTTATAACTTCGGATCTCATTCTTGTATTAGAGATAGAAGCATACACAAGATTTATGCACTCAATATTAGGTAATAAAGAATCAATAATGTATGAAAAAAGAATATTTATGAAATCCTAGATGTTGATATAAGTTGGACCGTGTCATATCGTTGATTATTTTTTTCAAAAGGTAGAAATTTTTTTAGTTAGTAACAAGAAATATACTATATTCTAATACAAAAATAGAATTGATTGGAATGGAATAATCAAAAGAATCAATGGTAAAGCTGAATGATGAAGAGTATATCTTGGCAAGTAGTTTTATAATTTGGTACTAATAAATAACTTACATAAACAATAAGTAATAATATAAAATGAACAGCCAATTAACTTTTTTATATATATTAAATTTCCAATGTAATTAACTAATATATGTTTGTACTCTTAATATAATATTAAAATCTTTTTGGGTCATGTTAGATACTAAAATAGATTTTCTCTCTTTTATTTACCAACTTTTTTGAACTGTTACTATATAAACTATAATAATTGGGTCCCTATTTTTATGGGCCATGAGCGAGCATCCAACTTGTCCCACCCTAGGGACGGCCCTAGTTTAATCATTCGCTAGGGATATTAGTTTGATATATATTTTTTTGATTAACCTGGATATCCAATTCGCTATGCAAGTCGACTAATTTCAGGGCAACCACCTGCTTTGCGGGTAGCCCAAAGTCATCGCATTTGAACCTCTGTGGCCCCAAAGCCAAATAACACGAAACTATATGGGGGTTATTTGGGTCTGGGAAATTTCTTACACTCCTAGGTATAACCCTAGTCACATAAATTTCTAGATCCGGCTCGTTTGATAGGTACCATTCTTTGTGAGTGCTTATCCGATTCCTAAAAGTGGCTTAAAAGCTCCTTTGCATAAGAATTTTATAACTAATCAATAAGCAAGGACTCACTTATTTCCCAGCGATGACCAAATTTTCGGTTAAATCTGTGACTTGATTTTCTCTCTTTGGTCTGAGTTTAGTTGAGTTTTGCAAGATTTCATGCTCGAACTGTTGGTGGGTTACATAAAGCATAAGATAACTAGTATGTTGTGACATGGTTTTCACATTAAAAGGGAGCATTTCGATGTTGCAAGTTCCTAGAGTGTCATTGAATTTGTTAAGAACAGAATATGGAAGTTGTATGTTTTTTTAATAAAGGGAACAAACCCTTTGAAATTTTTTAATCAAAAGTTAAAGAAAAAATAAAAATTAAGATGGGCATACTCATGTGTACAAAATGTCTCTCTAACAAATGCTTAGGAAAAAGACACAATATTTGACCCTATAATTTTTTTACAGGATATAGACCCAAAATTTAGGGTTTTCTTATCATATCTTCTTCGATTCCATCAACGGAACATTATTTTATTTGCAAGATCCAAGTATATCTTGAATAGATTGTTGTATCCTTTAAGTGGACTGACAAATTTTTGTCTTAGGACGCTATTTTTATGCATGCCTCAAATTTGATTTTGGTTTGTATAAGAATATGCAAATTCAAGCAAGGATTACAAATTGCAGTAATTTCTTGTTTGTGTGTTGATATTTCAGATTTTTTTTAAGATTTCGAGTTTTGTAAATTTATTTACCTAACTATACACATCTTTTATATTGATGATTGATTACTCCTAACAATCAATGACATAAATTTTCTTTGTGGGGCCATGGATTAATCAAACATGTCAAGAAATCACGTGGAAAACCAGGAGAAAGACTTTCGTCTCCTAATAATCTACGATATAAAATTTCTTGTGGGGCCATGGATTAATCATACATGTTGACAGATCACGTGGAGAATCAAGAGAAAGACTTCCGTCGATCGCAACATAAGATGTTATTCTACTTGACAACATTTTGTTGGGCAAGATAGAAATGTTCCTACACATATCCAAGTAACTGCTCATCAAAAATCTGTTGAGGCATGAAAATCATATGATTATATTTGCAAAATCTATATTCTAAGGGGAGTAGATGATTACCAGACTATATATGTTCCACTGTAAAAACATACGTATGATATACATTTGATATATATATATATATATATAGGGGCCTAATCAAATAAGAACTAATTAGTTTGTGGTAACTGTGAAGTCCAATCTCAACCACAAATCAATAGATAAATTAGAAAATTTATAATTTTGGTAATTTTGAATTAAAATTTAATACAAGGACATTTTAGGTATTTTTAAACTTTCCTCTCATCTCTCTCCATCCCCCGTCCTCCGGCCACCGTCCTCCGGTGATACTGCAATGGTATCACAATGCATCATATATGTGATTGGGTATCACGCTAAGGTCATTTGTGTGGCCGATCAGAGATGTAACAGAGTGGTACCACATTGATTACTTGTGTATCACAATGATTACTTGGTGCCGGTCGGAATAATGTTCATCGGAGGTTGGAGATCCGAAGTCGGAGAGAGGTGAGAGGAGAAAGGAGGGAGGAGTTTTTAGAAATACCTAAGATGCCCTCTAATTATAATTTTAACTCAAATTACCAAAATTACTAATTTCCTAATTTATCTGTTGATATGTGGTTGAGATTGGATCTCACAGTTACCACAAATAATCAGTTCTCCCTTGAATGGACCTCTATATATATATATATATATATATATATAGAGAGAGAGAGAGAGAGAGAGAGAGAGTGAGACTTAGGATCACGTGAGACCAATGGTTTTTCGTGAGACCCGTAAGATCAATTCTCAACTCTTGGATTAGATTTACAATCGTCAGATCTGAACATTCATAAATGCCACGAGACATCTCAATAATTACTAAATTGTCATCTTGCAACTTTAGACCATTAGATTATTAGTTTATAAGTTGATCAATGAACATAAATTGGTCTTACGGGTCTCACGAAAAACCCTTGGTCTCACGTGAACCCAACCTTATATATATATATATATATATATATATATATATAAATCTCCAATGTAATTAACTCATTCATGTTTGTACTCTTAATATAATATTAAATTCTTTTTGAGTCCTGCTAGATACTAAAATAGATTTTCTCTTTTATTTACCAACTTTTTTGAACTATTACTATATAAAGTATAAAAATTGGGTCCCTATTTTTTATGGGACATAAGCGTGCATCCAACTCGTCCCGCCTTAGGGACGGCCCTAGTTTAATCATTCGCTAGGGATATTAGTTTGATAGATTTTTTTTATGAACCTAGATATCCAATCCATTATGCGAGCCGATTAATTACAGGGCGACCACATGGCAGGTAACCCGACTACTTTATATACAATTAAATCTGTATGTTCATACTCAACTAAGATGCAATAAATTTTTATTGGAAGAAGTGTCTCATACTTTAAATATATTATCTTTACATGATCTATTGGGTTATTTAAAACCATTTATTCGCTTGTCCAAATCCTATAAAAAAGCAATAGAAAGCCACTCAGCTGCCGATTAAGCCAACTTAACGAGAAGTAGCCATGGGAGTAGAAAACATCCTACACATGAATACCGGCAATGGAGAATTAAGCTATGCCAAAAACTCATTACTACAGGTCTCTCTTACTCTCTATCATTACTCATATAGATTGAAAAATCGGTTGTCTTAATAACTGTGACTCAAGTGTCGGTGTCATTTCTTTTCCATCAGGAAATAGCGATACGTAAAACGATGCCGGTTTTAAAGCATACGATCAAATCCATGGCTGATCTTGGCATCAATATCTTTGGCCACTGTTTCACGATAGCGGATTTGGGATGCTCATCCAGCACAAATACGCTGTTGGTTGCAAGGACCATTATCGATATAGTCGATGAGGCGTGTAAAGAAAATGATCGTAAGGCACCACAATTTCAAGTGTGCTTAAATGACCTTTATGGTAATGATTTCA